CAAAGGAATGAATTAGGTCTAACATATTGCCAACATATGTACAGTTCAAAATGTCAAAATGAAACTTTTATATACATGCTCTCCTCCCTAGTTTGTCTGGATAGTTTGTGTTACAGTATGTTTCCACATATGATATAATGCTAGTACTGCTCTATGCACTAACACTATGATCCTATGTTTTGGTTATAAAAGGCATATATGATTCTTTGGATAGACAATGTAATCAAATATTTTTATGATCACTTACTCTTAAACCACTTTCAGATTTTATGTCCATGATTGCCAGGACAGTTTCATATAAAATGGCATTTCCAACATTTTTACTTGTTTCTGTGTTTGTTGCAACCTTACAAAAAAGAGAAATTAATATTCCAGTAGGAGTAAGGTACAATGTATTACAACAGAATTTGTCAAATGATTAGTGTGGCATTCCTTACATGTACATTTCTTGCTGAATATACTGTATCAATCACATTAAAATACCTGCGCTAAAACATCATTCATCGCATCACTAGCTTCATCATCATTTCTTCCCAAAATTCTGAGCAATCTGATCACTCGAATCTATCAAATGTATATATGGTACAGACTGTAAAATGAATTGTACACCACAGTCACACTGATACAGAACATAAACTGAGACACCACCCATAAGGCAAAATACCTGGGTTTGTTGCTAAATCTTATGTATTGTCCAGTACAAAAGGTCAGGTTTTCTTTTTTTGTTCTACATCAATTACATTCAGCACAGAGGGCACAAACATTCATTACATGTTATATCAACTTTGAAACAAACAGCAGGGCTTCAAATTTGAATTTTTCAGCAGTATCCAACAGGATAATAGCAACTTAAAATCTGGTATCCACCCAGAAAATCTAGTATCCCAAATTTGCAAAACTCTTTTCATTCATGATTGATTATCATTTGTATCAATATGTGGTATTTCTTCCACTTGTTCATCAGTTAAATAATATTTGCAGTGTCTCAGTAGATTTTATTGTTTGCTCAGTTCATATAATGTACTGTATCTTAACATTTTGCCAACATATTTTGAATATAAGTACGTGAAGACGAGCTATTTCCATTTACAGTATAAAATTTTTTTATGTGATAACCTTGTGATAACCAGTATCCAAATTTAAAATCTGGTGATTCTGGTATCGCCAGGATATCGGGATACCATGAATTTGAAGCCCTGCAAACAGGTTATACTTTATTGCCAATATTAAGAAAGCTTCAGATTGAAGGTGAATTACAACGTTTCGAGTGAAGGCCCTTGTTCGGGAAGTTAGTACAGTGTAGTTGAAATGTCGAAGTTCTCCTTGTATTTTTCAGGAAGTTGCATCTCTATCAATCCGAAGCTTTCTGATATACGATACTTTATATAACTATTGTAGTGCATATTTGTGCATATGCAATGAAATTTTTATCAACACCTAAACCAAGCAAATATACATTACCTGAAGGAAAGGATCACTAATTCCTGAAACATCATGCTCGGGAGAGTATCCTGACATTATTAAATTCTTCAATGTTTTCACCAAAGTCGAAACATGCTAAAACCAACACAGAATGTTTTGCGAGTCTCTTTTTTACAGCCAAGTCTATCTTATTATTAGTATGAACATGTCTTTTTCACAACCAAGAATATGTAATATTTACCTTAACTAAGTCAAATTATTACCGGTACTGTTCAGATAATAATCCACATGTAACATAATAACTGAGCATAAGTAAGTTTTTACTTGCAACTGACAATAATCACTCACCCGTCTAAAATGTGCCACAATTTCAGGATTCAGTTCACACATTTCGGTAACGAGACATGTAGCAGTTAGTAAAACACCTGAAATAAATACCAGGTTTTTTTTCAGGATTTTCTCTTGGGTCCGTTTTTGCAGAGAATATTGAGTTTAGCTGAACAGCTAGGGTGGCTGCACCCCCCCCCCTCCCTACCGGGGGGCTGACACTTGTACTCAATAAATGTAGTTGAGACAGAATGTGTTAAAGCAGGGGCACTAAGGGACACTATAAACTGGTTAAAGATGGCGAATGCATAGTTTTTCTTGTGTTGTGAGATGAATTCCAGCCATTTTTTCTTAATTGTCGGGTTTCCAATTGAAAACTAATTTCCACATGTCACGAATTTAACTCAGACAACTTCATTTTTACTGCACTGAAACTATGGTGAGAGGATTGATTTTCCAAACTCAATTCAAGATTGAGTTTTTGAGGCCATTTAACGGCCCTAAAAAATCCCTGGAAAAAACCCTGAATACTCATATAAAATATCAGAATTCTGGTACACATTGATATAACAGTACACATTTAGCATACCATGGTTCTTCTCATTCAGTAATGATCTTGTTACAGGAACAAAAATTTCCATCAGCTCTGGAACTTTACGAATTATCCGAACCGCACACAAAGCAGCCTAAATGGAATGAATAATATTGAAGTAAGAATGTGATACATATAGTAATTATTAGGCTGGGGCGGTTCTTGAAAAAATGAAAAATGAAAACCCGTCAGGAAAAAAACGGAAAAACCGGTTTTTAAAATTAATCTATAAATAACACACAGACATAAAACTGTGTAGCACATGTTTTTATTATGTGAAGAATTTTGATTTTAGATGCTTATATTAATATCAAAAGCTTATAGAGGTATAAAAATACAAGTAAGAACACAATGTTAAAAGAATGTATTTACAAGTTTTCAGCTAGGATTAGCCGAAACATTAGCATTTTTATCTTGTTTTTTCCCAGTTCTTTGTCTTTTTCCGGGGGTTTTCGGTTTTTCGGTACTTGGACTTTGGTAAAACTGAAAAACCTGTTTTTCAAAAAAACCCTGGTATTTTCCGGTATGCCGAAAAACCGCCTCAGCCTAGCAATTATACACCGAATTCTTGCCTATTCTTCCAGATCAAGGGCCTCCGCTTGAAACATCAAAGTTCTCCTTGTATTTTCAGGTAGCTGTATCCCTATCAATCTGCAGCGTTCATGTTAATAATACTCTAACATCCAACCAACTCTTTACCATATATACTAATATGAACCAACCTTTTTCCTAGTAAAGCTATTGGAAGTTTTCAGAAGTCTTTCAATTTCGCCAGCTAAATCTCGACTCATTTCGTGAGAACATATACTAAATAAATTAAGAGTAAAGTTAAGTAACTCATCACTTGAATGATGAGAAATGTGGCTGTAGGTAGGCTGGGACGGTTCTTGAAAAAAAAAACGAAACTGAAAACCGTCAGGAAAAAACCTGGAAAAAACGGTTTTTAATCTATAAATAACACACAGACATAAAACCGTGTAGCACATGTTTTTATTACGTGAAGAATTTTAGTTTTAGATGCTTAAATATCAAAAGCTTACAGAGCTATAAAAATACAAGTAAGAAGACAATGTTAAAATAATGTATTTAGATGTTTTCAGCTAGGATTAGCTGAAACACTAACATTTTTATATCATTTTTTCCTGGTTCTTCATCTTTTTCCGTTTTTCGGTGCTTGGACAAAGCAAAACCGAAAACCCGGTTTTTCAAAAAACCCCGCTATTTTCCGGTATACCGAAAAAACGCCCCAGCCTAGCTGTAGGCAGGATAAAATGCACTGTCAATATAAGATACACTTTCAATGCACTTACCTTCCCAGAGTGCTAAGTGCCAAGCCAATAATGAATTGACTATTATGGTTCAAATCACTACAAAATACAAAATCAATATCTCAGGATTGCTTGCTAAATTTAACAAAACGTCAGTATTAAAATTTAATTCCCAAAGAGAATGCACAGTACTACTGTATATTTATACTTTGTAAAACTGTTAGCCTTAAGTATTCTATAAGGCAGCAGTGATTACCTTGGTTGAAATTAATTTTGAAAAGAAAAGAATAACTATTTTTCAATTCAGTCTATTACTCTACTTATTTTTGTGGGCACTTTGTGAGGAATTGGGTGATTTTTTGCGGCATATTATGAACTTTTTAACTGTTTTCTCTTGACATTTTTAACATTTTTTTAGTAAAATAGTAAAAATCCTTTGGTAAGACTTTACCATCGGGGTTCAGGCTGATACAAAATTTCTATTTATCTCTTCATCTATGGAAAATCTGGTCATTGGATCAGATTTTCCCATCTTTAATTCTGTGACTCTCCAACATTCAGATATGAAATTTTAAGAATTTGAAGGTTATAAATTATTGAGATTGTATGCATCTTTCACATAATGGGTGTCAATATGTTAGGTGTCAATTGGAACGCAAGTTCTGTTCCTCTCTCCAGTCACACCAATGTTGTATTTTTATTGTTCTGTACTAGTGCCAGTAATCAATCTTGTTTGTACGTAAATGAATTGTGACAAATCAAATTAAATAAATAAATAAATAATGAAAAAATTGTGCCAATCTCAGTCGTCTATGGATATATTGGTATCCATGAAACATACAGCAAGTCATAAAAAAATACAGTATAATTTACTTTTTGAGTGAGTTTGTGACTAGGAGATGTACATCCTGTCTTTCATCAAGCAACATCATGGCACCCAGGTAGCCAACTCTCTTGTCCGTAAACTTTGGAGATGCAATAAGTTTCAAACATTCCAGCTGAAATACCAAATTTAATTTTATCAACCACAGGTTTCTTTTGAAAATTGATCCAAAATTAATCATTTACCTGTCCGAAATGAGCAGGATAGCCAAGCATATGAATGTATAAGAGCTTAGCAACTGCTCTCGCTCGAAAATCATTGTCCTCTTCACGAAATGTGTCCCGAATTTGAGCACATTCTTTTGAAATGACAGTTCGTTCATCAGCTGCTGTTCGAGCTGCTCTGATTGCTCTAATGAGATCTCTTAACTTCAAAGGTATCGGCATTGTGAAATCATGAGTTGAAAAACAACCAACGTCTTCTAAAAATTAAAAATTAAAATATAATACTTTAACTCTGTAAGTGGCAATGCCCTGATGTGCCCTATTTTATTATTTTACTCTGTCTAACACCAGATGTGGTTGCACTCAATGGGTTAATCTGCCCATGCATCCTATTAACTTTTTGAGTGGCAATGCACACTGATCCACCCTACTTTATTTTACTCTAACACCAGACAATTTTACTCGCCAAGGAGAAAGTGCTGCCCATGGCTGGATTTTGAGGGGAGGTGTGGGGAGGTGCGCCCCTCCCACAAGAACGTTTTGCACCTCCACTGA